GCTTGATATATGTTGTTCCAGGTTCTTCTAGCTTTCAGGGTCTAGGTTGAAAAATATGTATATAATCTAATTGGTTTCCCCCTATATGTAATCGGATTTCTTCCTCTCATGACTTTTAATATTCTCTCCTTATTCTCTGTGTTAGGCATTTTCATTATAATGTGCCTTGGTGTGGATCTGTTGTGATTTTGTACATTTGGCATCCTGTAAGCCTCTTGGATTTGGTTTTCCAATTCATTCTTTATATTTACAAAATTTTCTGATATTATTTATTGAATAGATTGCTCATTCCTTTGGTTTGGAACTCTATTCCTTCCTCGATCCCAAGATCTCTTAAATTGGTCTTTTTATTCTATCCTGTATTTCTTGAATGTTCTGCTCATGGTTTCTTACCATTTTAACTCTGTGGTCTACATTATTTTCAAGATTATTTATTTTGTCTTCATTGTCTGAGGTCCTGTCTTCCAAGTGGTCCAATCTCTTGGTGATGCTTTCAATTGAACTTTTAATTTGGTTTATTGTTTCTTTCATTTCAAGGATTTCTATTTGGTTTTTTAGAATCTCTAGCTCCCTATTGAAGTAATCTTTTGCTTCCTGTATTTGTTTATGTGGCTCTTTGTCAAAATAATCTTTTGCTGCCTGTATTTGCTCTCTTATGTCATCCTTTAATTTGCAGAACATTTTAATTATGTACACCCTGAACTCCTTCTCTGTAATTTCTTCTGCTGTGCTGGCCATGGATTCTAATAATGTGATATCTTGATTTGTTTGGGACACTTTCTTTCCTTGTCTTTTCCCTTCTAGCACTGTGGATCCAAGGCATTACCATTTTACCCTATAGGCTCATAGTGCCCCTGTAGTGATCCAATATCTTTCCTTTGAGGTGAAGGGCAATGTTATCAGATCCCAATATTAACAATATACACCCTAAAAACAAATATTTGCTAATAAGACGTTTATAGTTTGGTCTCAATGTAAAGAAATGGTGAATTCAATTTTTATTTACAATATACTCAGTAGGTTTGTAAAAGGGTTTACAGTTTCTGATGGTGGACAAAAAACCTGGAGTGAGGAGTAGGATGATATGATGAGGAGGTAGGAGGTGAGTATATAGAGTTGTTATATCTTAGGAAGTATGAAAGAAAAATCTAAACTGGAAGTTTAGTAGCAGGAAAAGGGAGAGGTATTAATTTTGGGTAGACAAGTAAGTGGAAAGACGGTAAAGTACATAAAACAAGCACACATATATATATCAAGAAAAAAAATTTTTAAATGTTAAAATAGCAGAAATTGGTGGGAAACAAAAGAATATACAACACAACTGTAATATACTATTCAGACATCCCAGTCCTGAAAATCCTAATTCATGCAAAGTACTTGGTTTCACATATATTGGGGATGTGAGGGTGGGAGAAAGGAGAGGGAGAGGGAAAAAAATCTTGAAGGAAGACACAGGGCTTGTTTTGGTTGGAGATCAGTATCTTTCCCACCACCTTTTTCTCCCTCCAATCTTTTTTTAATATCTGGTAAAACAAAATTTCCATTAAGGACTTAAGGGTAATCCCTTTTCCAGGTCCACACCCACCATCACCTCTACTCACTTGTCTAGAATCTTCCAGGGCTCAACTCAGTATGTGGCTCTTCTTCACTTACCTCCCTGGAGCTGCTTTGGGTAATGCCCCAGGGTCATCTTGTCACTAGTTTCCTTCACTCAGACACTAGAATCTTCAGCCCACTCTTCTATTTTTTCACTTTTCTGCCCTTTTCTTGGAGAGAAAGTTGAACATAGAGATTACGAACACAGGTTCTACCTAAGTCCAAAGTCCAGTTTCCCCACTTATGAGCCCTGATTCCATGGGCAAGTGACTCCTCTTTGGCTCGATTTCCTAATCTCTATTTAAGTATGATTATTGTACCTACCTTATAGGACTGTGCAAGAATTAATAATTCTAATTTAAATAAAATGTTTAGAACCATTTCTGACACATGTAGTAAGTGTTCAATAAATATAAACTATCATAATACTAAAAAAAAAAACAACTTTATATCTGCATTTCAAATATAGGCAGTTGGTTTGGTGAAAAGAGCCTGAACTTTCGAATGTGACTTTGGTTTAACTTTTAAGTCCATCTCATATTACCCTGGCATTTCATACTCAACATGTGTAAAACCATTCCCAGTCTCCACCCACTGCACCTTCTCTACAATCAAGATGCCCTGCCCTCATGCTCCCTACTCCAGTGACTGGTGAGACTATCTAAGCCTCACCCATGACAGAATACAAACATCTAACATCTAACCCCCATATTCCAACCAGAAGGCGGCATGGTCTCTGTGGCCTCTGCCTTTACAACCTTCTCTTGCATCAATCCTGGCCATCATTCAAGACTCAGCTCATGAACCTTACTCTAATTGAAATAAAACAGGCACAGAGAGACAAATACCACATGTTCTCACTTTCATGTAGAATCTAATGTAATCAAACTCACAGAAGCAGGAGTAGAACAGCTAGGAGAAATGGGAGGGGGAAGGTGGTCAAAGGAAATGAAGCCTCAGGAGGAATAAGATATTTTTAGATCTTTTGTTAATAATAGTGTATTATACATTTCAAAAACTGCATAAATTTCAAGTGTTTTCACCACAAAAAATGGTATTTGAGGTGATAGATATGTTAATTAATTTAATTGCCTCACATTGTATTCATAAACCACATTACTCTGTACCTCATAAGTATATTGAACTATGATTTGTCAATTAAAAATACTTGTTTAATTAAGCTCATGCTTTCTACATTTTTGTGGTCTTTTTTGAGCAACACCACCCCCTTTCTATATTAAACTCCCATTCTTTGTAGTTTTATAGGCCTATGGGATTTCCCTGTCTTTCCTGTCATTATGATAATATAATTTCATATCTCTTTCTAGTTTACAAGTTCCATAAGAACAGAGTCATTGGTTTCTATCTCTTTCTGAGTCCCCAGAACTTGGCATCCTCCCACCAACTGATGTTCAATAAATACATCTGCAGTGAATGAATATATAAGGAATGAATGAAGGGTTGGAGAAACTTTGGTAAAATAATGATTTAAAGAGAGATTATTATTATCCTAGAAGTTCCTAAACAACTCCCCATCAGTACCTAGCACAATTTGATTTTGAGGCTTTATCATACAAAGGAATAGATGTACAGCAATAAAAAAGGAGCAAGCAAATTTATAGGAGCCAGGTTTTACCCAGCAGGGATCAGCCTTAGAGATAGCAAGAGCTACTACAATAACTCAAAGACCATATTAATCAAATCTTCATTAAGAACATAAGAATATACATTATTCCTGTGTCAGGTACAGTGGCACAACCTGTAATCCCAGTGGCTTAGGAGGCCGAGGCAGGAGGATCGAAAGTTCAGAGCTAACCTCAGCAACTTAGTGTGACCCTAAGCAACTTAGCGAGACCCTGTCTCAAAATAAAAAACAAAAAGGGCTGGGGATGTGGCTCAGTGGTTGGCTGAGTGGTTAGTTCAATCCTTGGTACCAAAAGATAAATAAATTATTCCTGTGAATAATTTATAAATTAATTTGTTGATAGGCTCTTTTAAAAATAAAATAATATGTAATACATTATACCAGGCACTATTTTAAGAGCTTTATATATCATTACTCATTTTCATCTTTATTCATAACACCTGTATGATGTATGTTCTGTTATTATCATCATTTGACAGATGAAACTGAGCAGAGTAAGGTTGAGAACTTGCCCAAGGTTACACAGCAGTAAGAATTATTCTAACCCAGGATATCTGATGCCAGATATTCTCTTAACCATCTACCATACCACCCCTCAATGTTCATTTACCATTTGCTAAATAAACATCTTCTGAATGCCCATCAGGAATTTCCAGTGCTGGATACCAAAGACATAAATCCGAAGACTACTAGAACTAGTGTGGACCCTGCCTCCAAACATTTTGCAACTCAGTGGGTACAATACCTTTCTGTAGGTGTTATGACATCTCTGTACACACAACTCTGGTGGAACAAAGGAAGAGAAAGCAACTTTACCTGTTCTTTGAGGAAGAGAAAATGGTCAGACTTTCAAAGAGGAAGTAACTCGTGACCTTGGTATAAAAGATAGGCAAGAGTTTGCCAAATGGACCAGCAAAGCAAGTGTGGAAACTTGCAGGTCTGCAGTGAAATTCCTTTTCCCAGATTCTCAATGGAACTGCCAGATATCTCCAATTCCAGGAGTTCTTAACCTGGGGTCTGAAAAGCAAGTGACTCACCTGAGATGGAGATTCAACCAAGAGATTTTACTGGGGGGCTGCCTAAAGGGGAAGAAAAGAAGAGAGAGAAAGCAGAGAGAGGAAAGGAGGAGGGCAGAGAGAAAAGAGAACAGAGGAAGAAGAGGAAGAAAAGGAGAGGAGAGAAAGAAGAGGAAGAGAGCAGGGAAAAAAAAGAGGGCAGAGAGGAGGAGGGCAGAGAACATGAGCTTGCAAGCTTCAGCTTAAGAAGGGTTGCATAGGCGATGTGGCGGGTGCTGATTGGTAGGGTGACTCAGGAACCGGGAGCAGACACTGTGTCCAGCGGGGATTGGTTGAGAAAACCTTTGAATTTGGTGCTCTTCCTCTTGGCGCCCTTTGGAGAAGAGGGGGAGGAGTAAGGGATTTGGTGATGTTCTCGCTAGACAGAAACTTAACTTCAGCGGGGAGTCTCCCACACACCCAACAGGGTCCAAAGAACCTCAAAAAGGTTTTAGATTGAACTGTATTTTAGTATATTTGGCTTCCTTTGTAACCCCTATCTTTCATTATATGCATTTTATAATGTTAATCTGAGCAGAATGCACAGGCTTCACTGTCAAAAGGAGTCTATAGCACAAAAAATGTTACCAACCCCTGAATCCTAGACTCACTGTACCAGGAATGTCTCTGCTACAGATATACTGGTCTTGATAACAAGTAGGATTGTACTGTATTGATAATGTTAAATTCTTGTCTTACAATAGATTAAGTGGACTCCAGAAAACCTGATGAATGACCCAACTGTATTTGTGGACTTCTTGGATATAAACAAGACTCTTAAAAAAAAAATCTATCAGAATACTAATGACTATGATAAACTTGCCAGCATACTTAAAGAATTCCAAATGAAGTTGGGTTCAACATCTTTGGAGGTAAAACATATACTACATAAAAATTTAAGGTTTGTTACATATGTAAATATTTGATGCCCACACACATATATACATATATATTATATCAATTTTTTAAAGAAGTGTGTGTGTGTGAGAGAGAGAGAGAGAGAGGAGAGAAAGAGTCCAAAGGAGGGAAAGTATGCCTTCAGATTTCAAGGTAAACAATTAGAAATACAGTCTTATATTACTTCACCTTATTTTGTCTCAATAGTATATAATTTAAAGACATGGTATACAAGTGAGGCTGTAGAGTGTTGAGTGAACAGTCAATTAAGGTAAGAGATGAAAAATCAAGTGTGACAGTAGGCTTCAGAATAACAAGGAGCAGCAAAATGGTTGTGACTCTCTTGACATCTTTTGCATTGTTGTTGGCAGAAATGTGCTGAAACAGAGAAATAACAAAACCATCAGCACCATAAATCAGTTTCCTAAGACTATACTTTCCACCACTTGCTCCACTTGCCAAGACAGAACAACAGAAAAGCAGCCTAGATACTATGGTTCTCTTCATTTTCTTGTCTCAGCCTGATGGCTGTTCAACACTGCTCACTATAATATTAGCGTAGAGATGATCCTCATTGTGAAAATATACTTTTCCTAAATATGCATGTACACCAGCCAACTGGACCCAAATCACTGGATTACTAGAATAGTAATACTCATTCCCATATTATTGTGTATAAAACCATAACACACATCTGATTTTTCTACACCTATAATCAGTTTATCACATTTCTTCTGCTAGATTCCTCATTCCATGGTGTTCTTCAAGGAAGCTATAGAACATGTCATAAGAGCTACAAGGGTCCTTCGACAACCAGGGAGTCATATGTTACTGGTATGAATTTAAATCTTTTAATTTTTGTTTTCTTTTTGGTGCCAGGGATTGAACCCAGAGGCTCTAAACCACTGAGCTATATCCCCAGCACACACACCCTCCCTTATTTTTGAAACAGGATCCTGCTAAGTTGCTTAGGGCCTTGCTAAGTGATTGAGACTGGCTTTGAACTTTTGGTCTTCCTGCTTCATCTTCCTGAACTGCTGGAATAACAGGCATGTGCCACAGCACTTGATTTTCAGTGTTTTTAAGTTTGCAAAATAAAAATTAAGAAACTTCAATAAAGTCATCTTTCTAGCTGAAGTTTAATTTACCCACTTTTGAAAAATCACAGTAATTAAGTCATAGAACAGGATCCTTTTCCTTGCTAGTTTGCACAAGAAATTTGATATCACATATAAATGTTATTTGTTTTGGAAAGGTATTTGACATGAATAAAAATTAATGGATCTGGCACAGCTTCTAGTGTATCCCAGCATAGATATGGTATCTATGCAGGTGGATCCTGACATCAAAAGTAGTACATTAACTTGACAGCCATTGCAGTACTTTGAGCTCCATATAGACAGCACTGGGGCAAGTGAGAGCCAGATGGGCACTGGGTGACTCTGTGCTTGCTGAAGAAAAATAACTAAACATGGGCAAAGGAGATCCTAAGAAGCCAAGAGGCAAAATGTCATCATATGCATTTTTTGTGCAAACTTGCCAGAGGAGCACAAGAGGAAGCATACAGATGCTTCAGTCAACTTCTCCAAGTTTTCTTAGAAGTGCTCAGAGAGGTGGAAGATCATGTCGGCTAAAGAGAAAGGAAAATTTGAAGATATGGCAAAGGTGGACAAGGCCTGTTATGAAAGAGAAATGAAAACCTATCTCCCTCCTAAAGGGGAAATAGGAGGCCAAGAGACCTCCATGGGTCTTCGTCTTGTTCTGTTCTGAATATTGCCCCAAAGTCAATGGAGAACATCCTGGCCTATCCATTGGTGATGTTGCAAAGAAACTAGGAGAGGTGTGGAATAACACTGCTGCAGATGATAAGAAGGCTTATGAAAAGAAAGCTGCTAAGCTGCAGGAAAAATACAAAAAGGATATTGCTGCCTGCTGAGCTAAAGGAAAACCTGAGGCAGCAAAAAAGGGAGTTGTCAAGGCTGAAAAAAACAAGAAAAAGAAGGAAGAGGAGGAAGATGAAGAGGAGGAGGCAGATGAAGATGAGGATGATGATGAGTAAGTTGGTTCTAGAGCAGGTTTTTTTCCTTGTCTATAAAGCATTTAACCCCACTGTACACAACTCACTCCTTTTAAAGAAAAAAAAATTGAAATGTTATGCTGTGTAAGATTTGTTTTTAAACTGTACAGTGTCTTTTTTTTTTTTTTTTTTTTTTTTTTTTGTAGTTAACACACTATTGAATGTGTCTTTAGAGAGCCTTGTCCTGGTGGTATTTTCAATAGCCATTAACTTTGCCTGGTACAGTAAGGGGTTGTAAATTGGCATGGAAATTTAAAGCAGGTTCTTCTTGGTGCACATCAAAAATTAGTTATATATGGCGATGATAGTTTTTCATCTTCAGTTGTCTCTGATGCAGCTTATATGAAATAATTGTTGTTCTGTTAACTGAATAACACAGTGTAATTGCAAAAATTAAAGAAAAAAGTTGCAGCTGTTTCGTTGACATTCTGAATGCTTCTAAGTAAATACAATTTTTTATTTTAAAAAAGTATATTAACTTAAATATTGACTTAGAAACATGAGGCTTTGCACAAAATTTTGCTTCTCATGAGAACATATGGGAGCTAAATTCTTAGAAAACTCCTAAATACTTCAAATAAAGAAAAAGTTTTGGAGTGCTAAATAAATCTAAGATATATAACCAATTATAAAAATCATACTGTTTATAACAGTTTAAGTTATTATTTATGCCTACTTTTTTATACTTTATTTATAACTATTTAGTTCCTTAGATATGTCTTTTTTTTCCCAAGTAGGACTTGTTCTTACATTCAGAACAGCTAAAGCTTTATTTAAACACTCCTTTATTTAAGTAAACATTTACAGGAAGATTATATGAAATTAATTCAAAATTAGAAAATTGAATTAAGAAAAAAATACAAAGTAATTTTTCTCTACCACCAAAGCTATTCTTCACTAACTGATCCCATCTGTAAATGGAAACACCACATCTCTTCAGCTATATCCAGAAAACTGAGTCATTCCATCTTGTGGCTTTTCCATCACTCCACATTCATCAATAAATCCTGGCAATATAATTTTCTAATGTATCTCAAGTCTGCCCACTTTGCTACATCTTCACAACTACAACCCTTTTTAAGCTGCCGTCATCTTCACCTGGACCAAGAAACAGTCTTTTCTGATTCTCTTACTTAAAGTATCATGCCCCTTTCCTCAGCCTGGGCCACTTTATCCCCTTATTCTGCTTTGATTCATTCCAATTCTTCATATTATCTGAGCTTAAATTGCATATAAATTTTATTTATTATCTGTCTTCATATTTATAACACAAGTTCTAAAAGGGCTGATTTTTTCCCTCTGATTTCAATTATTAACATTATTTTTCTATTCCCAAAGGGTATATATTCTTGATTTACTTCTTTTACAACAAAGTGACCCCTTTTTTTTAGCAAATTGATTGTTTTCTAATAAGTACATTTAGGGAAAGTCCTCAATAGTTAAATTCCTCAGAATGTTTTCAGAGTAATTTTTTTAAAGCCCACACTCACCTGGAAAGTTGAATTCTTAAAAATTCCTATATCATCATTCTCCTGAACCCATCTGTACTGTCAAGAGCCATTACTGAAAATACAAAATTTTTTTAAAAAGACAAATTCCTGCTTCTCCTGATCCTATTATTATTTTTTTATATTTATTTTTTATTTGTAGTTGGAAACAATATCTTTATTTTATTTATTTATTTTTATGTGGTGCTAAGGATCAAACCCAGAGCCTTGCTCATGCTAGGCAAGCACTCTACCAGTGAGCCACAACCCCAGTCTGTGACCTTATTACTATTTTGTCTACATAAGCATCCAAGATAGATTTTTGTCCTGGATCAAAGTAACACAGGGGTTCAATTTTGCAAAGCAGTAATTTTAATTTTGGAGGTTGAACTAGCAACTGGGACTTCTGCAGGAAGGAGCAACTGGAAGAAGCATAATGATTTAATGAAGAACCTGCAGGATATTAAAAATAATGAGCCAGTCATGATCTAGGTTAGAGAATAACCTGGTGACATTGATTTAATTAGGTAACCAAGTAAAAGAAGAAGTCATGTTATTTTTTAACATAAATATTATATGGTTTGACTGAATTGTCTTGTTGAACTAACAAAGAATATAAGAAAACAAACATTAGTATTTCAATTTAAGGTATGGGTTAAAAGATTCTTGTAGACAATTTATTATGTAAAATGTTCAGTTTTCAACAAAAATTATAAGATATGGGAAGAGACAGAATAGTGTAAGTTATATACAGGGAAAAAAAGCAGTCAACAGAAACTCTTGAAGGTAATCCAGAGATCACTTGCCAGACATCTGGAAATGCAGCTGTTATTAATATATGAAAGAATTAAAGGAATATACATATATTAAAAATTAAAGTATACAACAATGACTTTTCAAATAAAGAATACCAATAAAGAGATAGAACTTATTTTTTAAAATAGAATTTCCAGGGTTGGAAATGATAATAAATGAGATTAAAACTTCATTAGAAGAGCTCACAGCAGATTTAAGATAACAGAAGAAAGAATCTGCAAACTTGAACATTCAGCAATAAAAATTATTCAGTCTGGGGAAAAAAACACAGAACCTTAGAGACACCATTAAGTACACTAGATATACCAAAATATACATATTGTATAAAAGAATAGAAATACGAAGTGATAGAAAACATGATATAAACCAGGTGCATTGGCACTTGCCTATAATCCTAGCTGCTCAGAAGGCTGAAGATTTTTAAGTTCAAAGCCAACCACAGCAACTTAGTAAGGACCTGTCTCAAAATAAAAAGGGCTGGGGATGTGGCTCAATAGTTAAGTGTCCTTGGGGTTCAATCCCTGATGTGTGTGTGTGTGTGTGACGTGTTTTTATTTACATGCCCAAAATTCTTTCAAGAAGCTTAATGACAGCAAGAAATTCTAGTAAACACAAGTTAATTCACACCTAGACACATCAAAGACAAAGAGAAAATCAAGGTAGCAAGAGAGAAACAACTAATTATGTGATGGGGATTCTCAATCAGATTAACTGCTGACTTCTCGCCAGAGTAATTGGGACATCTATGCTGGAACTCCAGCCATTGCTAAGGGCTGCTAAGGGAGAGTATTTAATTACTATGGGGGCAGAGAAACAGATACAAGTTGTATCTTTTATTTGCTCATTGAACATTTGCATTTCCTTTTCTGTATCTCTTGTTTATTTTTTCTTCTGTGTTATCTCTTTAATCAATTTGTAGGATTATTTATCTATTCAGATACTAATCTTTTCTTCATTGTATACATGGCAAGTGTAATTTTCTATATTAATCTTTTTAATTTATTTACAATATCATTCAGTAGTTTTTAATTATAACATAAAAATACAAAAAAAGCCCCAAAAACTATAATTTAAAAAAAAATAATTAAAATAGAGCTCTAGAAAACATCAGTTGAACTAAAAAAAAAGTACTAAAGGAGAAACAAAGATGAAAAAAGGAGATATATAAAAACCAAAAATATGGCCAACAAAAATCAAACCATGTCAACCATGACATAAATATAAATGCATTAAAATGCCAATAAAAAGGGAAATATTTTAAGATTTTAAGATTCTATTTATTTTTAAAAGAAAAAAATTTAAAATGTGACTTCTATGTCAACAGCTTCAAAGACACAAAATAATTGAAAATGAAAGAATGGAGAAAGAGAATCCATGCAAACAATTACCATTTGAGAGTTGGAGTAGATGTACTAATATCAGACAAAGCAGACATTCAGGGGAGGAGATACTGT